GCCCAAGTTCAGTTTTCATCCTCTCCCACTGAATTCTTCTTGACAAGAAAAGGCAGAGTTGCTCTGTGCTTGCATTCCTTGAGTCATTCTAGTTCAGCTCACCTATTATAAATGCAAAAAAGCTCTGTGAAGGAGAGGGACGTATGAGAAGGGGAGGGTAAAGAAGACCTTGGCCAACTGACTCTTACTTTTCTGAACCTGGAATTATTCATGGCCAAAGCAGGCACTCTTCATAGGTGAAGGCATTTCTACCCTGCTCCTAAATATGCTCTGATGGCAGGACACCTTCCAGAGTCCCCACCCTTTCATATCTGTGAAGAAGGCCATCCCCTCTTGGAACTAAGACAACATGCTGATGCCGTGATCTGCTGCACTGCCAAGACCTACACACAACAAGTCCTTCAGATCACGGACTAAAACCTCTAAATCTGTGAGCCAATAAACCTTGCTCTTCTAACTTGCAAGCAAAGACCAGCAGAGATTTCCAGACACCGAGTCTGCTTTCCCTTCCTACTGCTCTATCCTATCAAACTCCCCAGCCAGGCATGGTGGCACATGCCTGTAATCCCAGCACTCAGGACCTTGGGCAAGAGGTCACCACTATGAGTTCTATGTCAGCCCGGGTTACACAGTGAGTTCAAGGTGAGCCTAGATTACATAGGGAAACCTTGCCTCAAAAAAAATAAATAAATAAATAAATAAAATTGTGACACACATAATAAAAATCAAAGGTAGTTAGAAAATGTAAAACTATAACTGATGGGCAGAGAAATAAACGGCTCTAAGAAAATGGCATACAACTGGCTGATGCACATGAAAATGGGACTCCGCTTAAGTAATGAAACACATAGTGAACTTCCACTACCAAAACACTTAATATATAGCTTTTGTTGGCAAGGGCCTAAGGAAACTAGTATTTGTGTTCTCCAACAGGAAGAAAGAGATTCATGTTTTCTCAAGAACAAAAACAGGTAACAGAACCCAGATGAAAACAGATGCAGGAGCAGGACGGTGAAAACAATGCAGATGTTGCAGAACGTCTAAGCCTTTAGCAAGCCAGCGGGAAGTGGAACTCACCGTGGTGGAATGCGCTCATTTCCAAAGTCTCTGATGGTTGTAAACCTCTTCAGAAGGGTTTCTATAAGACCACACCTGGCCCACTCCTCTCGTCAGGGTGTGAGAAGGCTACGCAGGCGACAAAAGGCACACTGCCCTCATTGTTGAGCAGGGCAGACAAGGAGAGGAAATATACTGATTCCCAACACTGAAAAAGCTGATTAACCCACATGAGTCAGGAGAATGGCCTGCAGCTTCGTCACGGAAAGAAGTCTTTCATTCCAGAACCCTTTTAAAAGACCCGTAAACCCAGTTCCTAGTTCCCTAACAAGATGTCAGATTTCTTGCGGCTCACCCTCCTTCCTCTCCCCTCAAGGGGCCCATCTTTCTATTACCTTCTTTCTGTGAAGTCTGACATACACAGTGCATACAAGTTCTTGCTACCCTGCTTCCAGGTGCATTTCCAGTAACTGGAATGGTTTGCAGAGACAAAGATGTTCTGGGCACAGCAGCCCCCTCCTCAGCAAATCCTGGGCAAGGGTCAGTCTAGAAGGATTACAGGTGAAGCCCTGCTTTACAGGCTCAGGGGATCTTCCTCCAAGTCTGTGACATGTTAGCACATCCATCCACACCACCACTGAGACAGACTTCATGGTCAAAATGAAGACAGATCTAGGGAGGGTCAGAAACCTACCTAAGCTCATTTTACTTAGGGTAGGTAGTGAGACTGTTGTCCAACCCAGACCCATGTCCAAAACTGTGTTTCTTTTCTGTGCATTTACTATGTGTTAGGCACTGTGCTGGACCAATTCATCTCGTCTAACTTCTTCAGCACTCCTCAGTAACACCGTACCAAATCTTAATTCCTCTGCTCTCAAACGCTAACGGACTCAGCACAACACCAGCCCTACACCAGGATGTTGAGAGGTGAAAGTACAGGCCACAATCTGCTACAGTCCTCAAAAGCAGGTATCTAACCACAGCAAGAGTGCCAGGCGTCTGGGTTTTATTTTCTATGTTTATTTTTAGTTTCTTCTTTTTACAATCCTCAGCACCTGAGTGTGTAAAAGGGATCAACAGCAAAGACCCAGAGTAGGGTCAGTCTCTGACAATGAAGACAAGAGACTCAACAAATGAAGAGAAACCTCTCACCCCATGAGCCAAGCATCTGGGAGGAGTTCACACGTGGGAAGCAAGACCCCAACCTGCCCACAGTTCAGGGTCATATTTTTCAGAGTGGTGAATTTTACTGAGACCTTGTCATCTTACAGTATAAAAAGAGGAGACACTGCTAAGCAGGGTAGGAAGAAGCCAGTCAGGTTCACAAAGCACACGTTCCCTTATGAGGATCCCCAGGGAAGAGAAACCTTTACCCCTGGCAGAAGTCTTAAACCATGTTGATACCCTCCCCAACTTCATACAGAGCAGGTTAGAAAAATCTTTACCCCTGGCAGAGGTTCTAAACCAGGTTGTTTCCCTCTCCATCTTCATACAGGGCAGGTTAGACGCTGCTAAAATGCAGGTGACAAAAACAAAGCCCTTTTACAAAGACAACGGAAATGAAGACAGCTCATTAAATACAGTCACTTTCGCTTTGTTCCCACACTGAAATATTCTAAAGTCACCAGCATTACAATGGATTGATGCGGTTTTTATAAGGAGCACCATTTTTAGCACCAGTGACTACAGATCAAGGCAATTTTCAATATATAAATGGAAACTCCTAAAATTAGGTACAAAAATTATTTTCAAGTTCAGAATTAAGCATAAGCACCCATGGTCACTAGGAAAGTAATCACAAAACTGGATATTTCCAGCTCATTGTCTTTTCCTTGTACTGACCTATATTTTAGCAACTTTGTTCCTAATCCAAGGAATCAAAGACATTAAGACAAAATTAAAGTCAGTTTCTTCCTCCATTAATGTTCTAGCATGCTCTTAGTGGGCATTCAAAATGCGCAACTATACAGAGGTGTTAAAGCTTGGGAACAGAGACATACATAATGAACAGTCTACTGATTTGACAGTCAATACAATGAACATTTCCAGACTTAAGGGGTCATCCTATCTTTTTGTTGTTGTTTTATTGGGGGGGAGGGGTGCTGCTTTTGTTGTTTCTGACACAGGCTCTCCCTGTAGCCCCAGCTGGCCTGGAACTCACTATTACACTAGGTTGGCCTGGATCTCACAGAGATGTCTGCCTCTGCCTCTCAGAGGCTGGGATTAAAGGCATTCCATCATTCCCAATAGTAAGTTTCAATTTACTGTGAAAAAATGCAATCATGTAAGCCAGCTTGCCGCCATCCTCCAGAATGATTAGTTCTCGAGCTGTAGGGCTGCAGCACATGTAAAGAAAGGCATGTTGTGTGAGTACAGACCAACATCCATGCCTCTAACACACAAACACACAGCTCTCTCCTTGTCCAGGCTAGCCCCACTTGCTCCTATTGCTCCTGATTCAGGAAAAGCCAGCAGGTGGGTGGCTGAACCAGTTCACGTTGGTGCTTCTCACAAATGGTACATAAGAACGTTACTAGCAATATCGTTACTCACACATTTGCTAAAACTGCTGCATAGCTCAGTACCAGCTCCCTCTATTCCTCAGAAGAGACCACAAACAAGATTTTCTGGAAGTTTAGGCATTAAATATTTTAGATATTTTTAAATATTTTATTTAGGCTCTTTTAGATAGAGGACTTGCACTTTAGAAATAGGAACTGGTAGAGTACATTCACATTACTCTTCCCACTCATTCAGATTTTTACTCTTTTGTAACTTAAACACAGACGGTCTGCTGGGCTTCTAGTGCTTTTGTTTTTACAAAATGCTGTGACGGTTAGTGATAATTGCCAATTTACCAGCAATCTTGGTTCCTGTGGGAGCTGGACCTCTGGGAATACCTGTGGGAGATTATCCTGACTGCCTTAACTGACCCAACCCACTGTGGGTAGCCCCTTTCCATGGCTGGGGTCTGGACTGTGGACCAGAGGAGACTTGTTCTTGACTGCAGATGTGATGATCAGCGACTTCAAGTCTAGCCACCTTCACTGCCCTGCCACATGGACTGTAGGCTTGAACAGTGGGTAAAATAAATCCTTTCTGCCTTAAGTTATTTTTGCCAAAGTATTTAATCATAACAACAGGAAAAGAAACTAAGACATGTCTCATCCTAAAGTTTATTCTAAAACCAGTTCCTTCTTCAGTCCAGCTGTCACAGTACCCATTTTTAAACTGCGTTGACACCGTGCCCTATCTTTGCCAAACGGTTTGGGATCTGATGTTTGGAATACATTTCAAATGTACTCCACACATTGAAGGCTTTCTACTATTATTACTTTTTAAAGCAATCACAGATCAATCAACTCTATTTATTTTATGCATACCCACAAAAAAAAGTGTCCTCAATGGTATACACTTCTGAGAGTATTTTCTGGCCTTCAGAGAGGAACAGGTGCAAAGTACTGCTTAAGAAAAAAAGGCAAAAACCGATCAAACTCAATTCCAACATCAAAAGAAAGAGCAGACAGTGCTCACAGACAGCAGGAGCTGTACCACTACAAGGCGCTGCCCCACTTCACAGGCATCCAAGATCTGCAACAAATGATTGATTCTTAGGTGAAATATACCTGTGGGTAAAAGCAGACACACACACACACACACACACACACACATACACACACACACACACACACACACACACACACACACACACACACACACACACACACACACACGAAGAACAGCACAGAGCCACTTAAGGAATTAAAAAAAAAAAAAATTATACACATAAAAGCCCACAATGTGCCAGGCACAGTGGCACATACCTGTAAACACAGCACTCAGAAGGTGAAGGCGAGAAGGTCACGAATTCAAGGCCAGCCTGGACTACATAACAAAACCTTGTCTGAAAAAAAATTTAAAAACCACCAAGTAAAAAACACAAATGTTCTTCCAACAGAAGTTTTATCAATTCAGAGGGATGTTACTTAAGTCCTAAAACTGGAAAGGAAAAAATACCAAAACAATACAAAGGCAATGTTCATTTTGCTTAAAGAAAAATCTCAAATCTCATCCATTCACTGAATCCATTATAGTGTGATGAAAATATAAATGGCTATGTATAGAAAATGGGACAAATCCTTCTCTGTGTACTTAAAATATCTGCATACTGTAAAGAAGAGGAAATGAAACCATGTCACATCAAACTCACAAAGGCCCAAATTCTAAGTTAGAGGTCACTAATGCTGCCATCATGACCTAGATGCAGGAGTGAACCCAATGGGTACTATACAACCACAACCAGCTCACGAAAAGGCAAATCCAAAAATATCCTAGAAAAGTAACATTAACTTCATAGGACATAATGCAGGGGAACTACATCTAACAATACCATCCATAGGAACATGAAAGAAACATGAAATTCAAATTCCCTGGAGTCTAGTTAAGGGCCTCTTAAGATTAGAATATCTTCAACGCTGAAATTCAACAGGGACATGAACTGATGGATGGTCATATTCAAGGAAGCCCAAGGTCGCAGACCCCAGCTGCTGTGCATTATCATTATTGAAGCATTTCAGGTAGTGCTTTCAAATTGTTCCCATATGAATGGCAGGTATTCCCTGATGCTGAGTTACAGATACCAAAATGAAGCATAAGGCCAGTCATAAGTCATTGAGATTATTTTAATTTGGCTGCTAGGTACTTCTATACTCAAGGCACCACTGCATTTCACAGTGAAAAACCCAGCCTTTCAACATTCACACACACTGAGAACAGCATTTGATTCCAGCACTCTGATCAATAAACATCTAACAAAACATGGTGACTATTACTATGAGGTAATGGAAGATACTACAGTAGCAGTCTGATTAGTTTATACATCCTGAGTTTTCTTATCTAAGACTTAATCTTAATTAAAAGAAAAATTTATATTTTCAAAAGTTGTCCTTCCTCTCAAAACAGGTTAATCATCTATATGAAATTGGATCAAATACGGATTTTAATTATCACAATACACCCAATATATCAGAGTAACACTGCCTCCACAAATACTAAACCGATTCAGCTGCTGTAGACAGAATCCTCAAGAGAGATGTGTGTGGTCCCCATGAACAAAGACAATGATCCACATCTTGAGGAACACACCTCAAGTCCTAAGGCAACCCGTGCTCAGCACCTCTGCCCAGTCACCTCTGCCCGTCAGAAGCATGGTGTGTGCCATGTGGGCTACTGCTCACAGCCAGGACTACTGCCTCCCTCAGGCTCCCCATGCCAAACCAAGGGCACAACAGTTCTGCCACACTCTGCCACACTCATGCTTGCCAATGCTCTGCCTTGTGAGAGGAGTCAGTTTGCTGTCACTCATCCCGCAGAGGATGACTTACGTGGGTCTGACAATGCACACTGCCTTCAACAGCACGAAAAGGGCACAGAGGACTAGGACCCAGCTCAATCCTACCTCTGAACCTGTATCAGTGACAGGCAGACTCGGTTCTAACCATAAAATCATGACTCACTGGAACTTTACAGTAATCCACAACACCCAATACTAGCGTACATGTGCAAGGAGGACTTCCGCTCCGTGTCAGGTTATCTCCCTGACTGAGCTCTGGAACCAAGGTCTAGGCTCCTCCCACGCCTTCCTGCTGCTCCTTCAACCTACTTTGGTACCTAATTCTTAATCTTCTAAGAGACATTCTGCTTAAAACAGTATTACTAAGGTGAATTCAGACCACTGTTCATCTCTCCAAAAGCAGGTGAGACTATCAGAGGATGTGGTGATTATCCATCCCAGAATTCTACCACTTAAGTAAATGGCATAAGAAGATCACTAAAGAGACCCATCACCACCACAAAAAATAATAATCAAATAAAAAATTACTCTCTTAAAAGAAGTAAAAGCTACTTTACCATTAGAACTTTCATTCAACACATGAATATATTCCTCTCCAAACTGAGTTCCCTCTGATACAAACGTGTTTGTTTGCCTTATGGACCTTCCAACAGGCATGCTCTGAAGGCCCCACTGAAACATACTGTGTAACAGATGTAACCAATGAGGGACAGGACTAAATTCTTATTATAAAAAGCTAGTCTTCAGAACATCTCAGTCCAACTTGGCTTCAGGGCTCTAAGACTTCTTACACGCTGTCCTTTAGAGACCTGCAGACCAGAGGTCCCCACAGGAGCTGTGTGTGCACCTGTACCACATCATTTGGCTGTCCACACAGGTGTCTCTCTCACAGACTTGTCTCTTCACACACTCTGACAGGAACATTATAGTGCCGATCGTCTTCAGCTATCAGGGTCACCACGGGCCAGTCCCTGGGTGGGTCAGTGGGATAGACGGTGATAAACTCTTCAGTGCTGTACTTGGACAGCCGGTATACCCGGATGGTGTGGTGAACAGCATAGGCAAGAAGGAACATTTCAATCTGGGAAGGAAAAGCAAACGGGTAAAGTGAGGGGAGCAAGAGGGCAAGAAGGGGCCTCATACCACACTCCATCCATTGTCCCAGACTGTGCACCAGCAATGGCTTAGCTGCGACTGTTCTCCTTCCCTTTGGACGCAGCCCCGGTTCTTCTCTAACCAAGGGGTGGGAACTATCAAGAATGGAGAGCATATCTGATATGGGATTTGTATTCAGAATACAAAAAGAATGCTCACAACTCAATGATTAATGAAACAACCAATTTAAAAACTGAACAAAGGATTTGAAAGACATTTCTCCAAAAGGTACATAAATGGTCAACAACATTAAATCATCAGCCCTTAGAGAAAAGCAAACAAAAGCCACTTCATACTCATGAGAATGGATAGAACCAAAATGACAAAGGAGGAACTTCAGCATTTCCTTTGGAGGAGCTGAAAATGTTTAAGGCAGTTGCAAAGCACTGGAAACGTACTAAATGTCAATCACACTTTAAGATGGCTAATTTGTCCTTTGTGAACTTCATCTTCGTTTGCAAAGACAGTGAAAATACGATGAAGACCTGGGACAATGGATGCTGCCGCTCCGCAGTGGGAACTGACATGCTGCAGCTACTCTGCAGCTTTATTTGGCAATGATGGGATCAGACTCAGGGCCTCATACATGCTATGCAAGTGTTCTGGCACTGAGCCACATCCCCAGCCCAGCGTAGGAGCAGTTCCTCAAAACGTCAGAGAATTACCATCTGCCCCCAGCAACTCTACTCTTGGGCATATACCAGCAAAACGTGTCCACACAAAAAACTGTCCATAAATGTTCACAGCAGGATTGTTCACAATAACTAGAGGAAGCAACCCAAGTACCCATCAAACTGACAAAGGAGTAAAATATAATACAACCACAATGGCATATTACTTGGTAGTAAAAAGAAATGAAGTACTAGCACATGCAAAAACATGGATATTCTTAGGAACATGCTAAGTCAAAGAAATCCTTCACAAATACCACACCGTATGATTCCATTGCTAACAAACAGACACAAAAAAATAGATTTATGGCTGCCTAGAGTTGGGGGAAAGGAAACCTGGTTGCTAATGGGTTTGAGGTTTCTTTATGGAGTTCCAAAGTGGCCTAAAATTAAGACTATTTTAGTGGCTATAAAACCTTAAAAGGATGAACTTAATGGGATCTACGTTGTATTTCAAAAAGAGCAATTTTTCAAGTGGATTCACCATTGTAACAGAACTTACAGGGTCTCAGAAGGGACTAACTTTAATCTACTTCAGGAAAAGGTAGGCACTAGAGTCTGCCACATAAAAAGACAGTACTTTGGATATAGAGCCTTAATGGTACTTTAGCAGTTAGCCATTCATACACACATAAACGCAAGCATGTGCACACACACACATACACAAAGAATTAAGATTTTAGGAAAATGAACTCAAAGTAGAACAAAGCAAGGTAATTCAACTTTTGGCTTAAACTGCACTGAATATCTGCATAACATTGCAAGCTGAGCATCTCTCTCAAAGACCTGGACCCGAGAGAAGCTAGATTCTACTAACTGGCAGCCAGGATTAAACAAGACCCCTCTACTGGGTCTACCTAGTGCTTTATGTTTTTCAGCCTCCCAGAGTGTCAAGAGAACTAACCTTCTCCATCACCCTGAAGACGTTAAGGGTAGGGCTTAATGAAATAGGTCTACAAGTCTCTGATGCACCTCACTTAAAATGGGAGAGCTTCATGTTTCTTCCCAAGAACAGGGAATGGATTTAGTGACTACCTTCTAACAAACAGACTATGCGATAAGCAAGAGTATGTGGCCTCCTCTCCATTAAAGATACCCACACAGCCCTATGGAGAAGCTGTGCAGTGAGGGCTACCAAAGGGGCTATCATTGGTACCTATGGGCTACCAATGGGGAACTGAGGTTTCCTGCCAAAGCCATGTAAGTAAGACATGTGAGCAGATCCTCCAGCCAAGACTGTGCCCCTGAATGACATGATTCATGTCATGAGATGCTGAGCCAGAGCTACCAAGGAAAAGCTGCTCCTGAATTCCTGACCTACAAACTCTGGCACCACATCTGACAGCTAAAAGCTACTGCATTTTGAGGTACTCTCAAAGGAACAACTCACCTGTTCAAGGCCACCAGTGTGTCCCACCTGGTTTAAGTGGTTTCTCAGTAGCTGCCCAGGGTCGTTCGATGTGTCTCGAGCAAATAAGAGCACAGAAAAAAGCGGGACTTCCTTTCCCTTCTCTTTATCTTCATATAGTTCAATGGCTCTGTTTAACATTAGAAATTTTATAGCTTCGTAGAGGCTGTATTCCTCTTCTTCGTTTGTAAACAGTTTATCACAAGCCATCTGCCTTGCTTCAGCAGTTTTCATTTCAGCCAGGCCTGCCCACTACAGGAAGAAAGTCATAATAATCAGACTTTTTGCTTTAAAATTCCTGGCACACTTCTATACCATGAGTACAAAATTATTTTCCAATGTTCACAACTCTAAGTTTGCAGCTCAAACAAAGGTGCTCCTCAGACCACACGAACTCCTCACTCTTCCTGCGCTAACTGAAAAGAGAAGTACAATACAACACAGAGAATCCCAGGGCTATGAGACGGACATGCTGACTCCTCTAATTCCTAGGCAACAAGAGTAACCCCAACAATCAGAGATACTTACTGAAAAACTTGTGTGCAGAGCTACATGGGACAGCTATAATTACTGCATCTCAAGGAACTTTTAGAAAGTTACCCGCAGAAATACACAGCAAACCCTCTGAAATGGAAGACTATGGGGGTCTCCTGAATATCGGTTTATTAAACTTAACCCTCTAAAGTCTTAAAAATATACATGAAAAAACTATTGGCAGCTGATTACTGCTGGGTGAGGGAAAGGTGATCTTTCAGGGGTAGATTCTAGATAGACTGACTAGATCCCAGTGGATGAACTTGCACTGAGGGACATCCAGGTACTGTAATTTCACTTGCTTGGCCTTAACATATATGACAATGCATGAAATCCAGTGAGGGGGGCATAAAGATGATTAAGATGCTTTGTATGAAATGCAAAAAATTCAATACAAAATACATTAAAAATATGCATATATGTATATACATATACGTGTCTAATGAATAACTCCAAAAATTATCAACTCCTAATTAAAAATAAAGGTTTTCAGCTAATATAGACAAACTCCTTAAATGAATAAGAAAGGCTTATAAATACATATGCTTCTAAGTTATAGTGAATGAGAAAAAAATATTATCAAAATAAATAGTCTTTATGAATAACCACTAACTCATGACTTTCCAATGCCAATCCAGATTTTTAAACATGAGAGTAAACTGTAATGGTAATGACTACACAGAATCTCTCCAATACTTGAATTAACAACTGGAACATGTTGTCCACATCTCATACTTTCTAGAAGCAGATCATGGGGTGATTAAGAGCATGGCTCTAGAGTCAGAGTCAGGATGCAATCAAGATCTGGCTTTTGCAGGGCATTAACCAACCTCTAGGATGCAGCCTTCCCATCTTTAAAACAGAGATGACCACAGCCATCCCACCCTTTTGGTTGTGGAGATAAAGCAGCACAAGAGACTTTTAGTGTCAAGTACAGCACAGAGAGATGCTAGCAGTACTGGCACAGATTACTAATGAGCAAGGTTTTTTGGTTTTTTTTTTTTTTTTTTTTTTTTTTTTTTTTTTTTTGGTCTTTTTGAGACAGGGTCTCCCTGTAGCCCCAGCTGTCCTGGAACTCACTATGTAGACTAGGCTGTCCTTGAACTCACAGAGATCTGCCTGCGTCTGCCTCCCGAGTGCTGGGATTAAAGGCGTGCACCACCACACCCAGCTGTGAGCAAGTTTAATGTTACTATAAAATGACATCTCTTAAACATTCCCCCAAATGATGGTCTACTTACAGTTGACATACCTGATAAAGCAAAAATAATAATTTCACCAGATCTTAAAATAGAAAAGGGACAAATGACCTATAGCTAAGCCAATGAGCTCTCCCTCTCCCTCACAAGGCTAGTGCCTGCCCCCATCACTCCACTAGGCTAGCGGCTGGATAGGTGCAGGCCTCTGCCCCCAAACACCACACTATATGCCAACAAGCAAGAAGAAAAATGTATTATTTTCCTTTCCTTCTCTCTACTCCCCCCCGCCTTTTCTTTCTAGTGGAAGAGAAAACTACCAAACTTCGACAATCTCTTTCACCATAAACACTTATCTTTAAAAGTTAACAAGGAGATTTGAGGAAACCAAGGCCCTTAAGTCATTCATTTAGCAAAGCATTTACCCAATTCCTATTATACAGCAGCCTGGGGACAGGCACTAGGTGTGAAGGGATAAACACAACAGTCCCTCAAGAGACTGAAAGTCTAATAAGACAGGCAGACCAAGTTCAAATAAACAAAGCAACATCCTCAATCCACGCTGTGAATAACTCCCAAAGTCCATGCCTGACCCTTGATTACTTATCCCTCCTCTACCCAAAGAACTGACAGGTCTTCAACTTAGCATTCCTGGTAAAGAGGGTTGCGACCTTCTCAAGAGTCATCTAGAGGTCAGTATAGGTCTGTGTACAAGCTTAGTGTCCAACCCTGGGGAGGCTGAGGAAAACTAGAGAAGTGTAGAACTGTGCACACCAGATCAGGGAAAACTAAAGACCAAAACCATCCCTCAATTCTGCTTCAGACAAGCACCTGGAACGATATTCAAAAGACAAGTTACTAAATCTACTTCCTGAGAAACTCTTTAATACTTTTGGGTAGAATCTGAAAACATAAGCATAACTGGGAAGAACTTAATATACATGAACATTGAGAATATGAATACAGACTGAAGGGCTGGAGAGAGGGCTCAGTAGTTAAGAGCACCTGCTGTTCTTACAGGGGATCCAAGTTTGATTCCCAGCACCCATGCTGGGCAGCTCACAACTCCAGTTCCAGGGAACCAACACTCTTTTCTGGCCCCCACCATGTATCCATATGTACATGCATGCACACACATGTGCACATACACATACACACAAATAAAATTACATCTTGAAAAAAAATATGGGGGGCTGGAGAGATGGCTCAGTGGTTAAAAATACTGGTTGTTCTTGAAGAAGACCTGGGTTTGAATCCCAGCACCCACATGGCAGCTAACAACTGTCCGTGACTCCAGTTCCAGGAGATCTGACGGCCTCTTCTGTCCTCCACGGGCACTGCACGACATGGGTGTACTTACCTACATGCAGGCAATATACGCATACACATAAAAAAATTTTAAAAAAAAGAAAAAAAATATGGGCTAAATGATACCCCTGAAACTTATGTTACTTCGATGAAGACTACATTTATATGTTTCCTTTCAAGAAAGCTAAGCATTATGTGAGGTATTCACACACAGCATCAACTCCAAGAATATATAATGTTGCTATTTCTCCATTTTACCAGAGACCTCACAGGAAGAATTTATATTCACTTAAATTTTTCTTTTTTAACACATTTGTACATGTGGGGGGAGGAATATAGAGGTACACATGTGTACATGGCATGTGGAAACCAGAAGGCAACTTTGGATACCCCTGCAAGAATGTTGTCCACCTTCTTTGGGACAGGGTCTCTCACTGGTCAATTAGGTTAGACTGGCTGGCCAGTGAGCCCCAGGGACCCACCATCTCTACCTCCCCAGTTCTGGGGCTACAATCACGAGCCACCACATTTAGCGTTTTTAGATGGCTTCTGGGGAATCAAACTCCTGTCCTTGAGTTTGCCGAGTCAAACATTTTACTGAGTAAGCCACTCTCCCAGCCCAAAATTATTCTGTCTAAAACCAGACAATGCTAGCTTTTCTAGAGAACCAGGAGCCTAAAAAAAAAAAAAAAAAGAATAAATAAATTAGCCAAGAACAGTGAGGATCTACTGGGACAAAAAAGATAAAATTTGCATTGATCAGAGACAGAAAATTATATGTTCCAAACCTTCTTCCTTAGTAGGGTAAGGGACTCCTTAATGTTTTCAACCAGGTCCTCACTCTTCCCATCAAATTTCAGCCCAAGTTTCCATTGCTTGATCCAGCTATACTTGTTTATCAGCTTTTCTGGTAACTAGAACATCAAGAAACAGAGATAAAGAGATGTCACATTGCAAGAAATCTACTACATGACCCAAGCTGGAAGAAACCACAAAGCCTTTATATAAAACCCACCTTAATTTCTAGAATTAACTTCTGTAAGTCTACCACATGGGTTTAGGATGAAAGACCTAAATCTGGAAGTCATAAACTTAGAAAGCACTCCCACACTGAAGGCTGCTAGAGAGAAAACTCTAGATTCAGATCTATGGCAGTCCAGCTTGTAAGACACCAACCATGGGCAGGGACATCACATGTAATATAAGCATAAGCTAACGCTGTGTCCACACTGAGTCTTCATAGTAACCACCTTTGGCTTCTGGGCCTACAGGCAACCTCTCTACAGTTCCCTAGTGTGTGGCTCAGGAGGGTGCCTCTCCTGTCAAGGCACAGAAGAAGGTCCTCCGTGATAATGTCAAAACCTGCTTCTTTCCTGGAAAGACAATAAAACCCAGCTTCTGCTATTTTTTAAAATCCACTAAAAAACTTCAACAATATTAACACATATATTCAAAGTTTTAACGTCTAGTTTCTCCAAATAGAGACAATATTGTTCTAGTTTAACTGCCTAATCAATATAGTAAGAAAAAAAGATCAGTGAGACTCAGCAGTAAGGTGGGGGCGGGGGGCTAGACTTCTTACTTAAAAGTAACAGCTGAACTATTATAAACCTCAATTTTTTGCTATGATTCAAGGACAATTTCATTCCTCCTACAAATCAATAGAACCTAGAGTTTGAAAGGCAACCCAAGCCACAATTTGATGAATGACAGCATGGGAAATTAGATCTTCCCAACAGTTCCTGGTATGTCATGTGGAAAAAAAAAAAAAAAACATATAATTAGGCTGGGCATGAGCATGTCACTTCATTGCTAAGATTTCACTTCTGAGGGTCAGAAAGATGGCTCAGCAGGAAAGGCACTTGCTACCAAGTCTGACAACCAGAGATTGATCCCAGGACCCACATGGTGAGAGAACTAACTTCCACAAGTTGTTCTCTGATCTCCACATGCATGCCATAGTTATACACACACACACACACACACACACACACAATAAATAAGTAAATAAATAAATAAATAAATGTTATTAGATTTTTTTTTCAATTAAAAAAAAAAAGATTTCACTCCTCTCCTGGAGTCAAAAAATCATTGAAATTGGGCATGGTGGTGCACGCCTTTAGTCCCAGCACTTGGGAGGCAGAGGCAGAGGAATCTCTGTGAGTTCAAGGCAGCCTGGTCTACATAGTGAGTTCCAGGCCAGCTGGGGCTACAGGGAGACCCTGTCTCAAAAGCCAAAAAAAAAAGGGGGGGGGGAGGAGAAAGAAGAAGAAGAGGGAGGAGGAGGGAGATCTTTGAATAGTTACATTCTCCAATGTCCTACACTGAGCTTGTTTAACAGTAATGAACAATTTTAAATGAGACCACATGTTCAGTTCTGCTGGAATCTAAGACTCAAAGACCCTTGAATGATGATTCTTTTTGTTCTTTCTTAGTCTACAATAATCAAGTGAAACTACAATTGGTTTGTCTCTACAAAAAACAGAACCACAACAGCAAAATAAATCACTTCCTGTGACCACAGTGATGGCAATCTACATCCTCAAGGGGAAAAGAGGTGTGGTCACCATTATCTCATCATGACAAATGACCACTCACCTAAAGGCTGCAAGAATCCCTCTGAGTGCCTGTGTGGTCTGTCCAGCACTTCAGAAGCATGTAATCTGCAGCTTAGCAAAACTCTCAAAGTCATCCCTCAGTTTATCATGAGAATTTAACTGGCCCTCAAGTGGCAACAAAGCGGAATTACAACTGGGCTCCAAGAACTGCAGTTAGAACACACTGGCCCCAAAGATGGAACGTGGGAGCCTGAGGTAAAGGGGCAGCCCAGAAGACTAACCCAGAATTCTGAGACATTAGACTGCTAAGTGGGTACAACAGCCAAGTGAGTTATTTTGGAGGGAGACAAAAATCGGTTTCCCCATTTTGTTTTCACTCATTGGTTGATCTGCTCCTAGAGTGATTATCCAATTCAGGGGTATATAAGTCTAGATATGGAAATCTTGGAGAAACATAGAAAAAAAAATTAAAGATGAGAAACTATTAGGAAAGAGAGACAGCAAGATGGCTCAGTGGGTAAAAGCACTTGCTGTTCAAGCCTGATAACCTGAGTTCAATCTCAGGAACCCCCATAAAGATAGGAGAGCCAGGTCTACAAAAGCTGTCCTCTGACCTCCCTTCACAAACACCTACTGTGGCACACATAAACCCATGCGTACACATATCTCACACACACACACACACACACACACACACACACACACACAGTTTTTTTATTTTAAGAGAAAGCCATCAGGAAAAAAAATGGAGTTAGATGTATTTATTCAGAAGGAAATAGATTTGACTGTTTTCATGGGCGGCCGTAACACATGAAACACATAAATCACCACTTCTTTCTAGTACACACACGGGTTGGCCTTCTGTTAGAATAAGATATATAAGCAAAAAACAAGACTGAAACCAGAAACAATGACATATTTAAGAAAAACAGCTAAAATCTTGACTACATGACAAACTGCAAATAAAATAGTCACCATCTCCAAAATGAGCTCACAGAAAGCTCTACTGTCTTGCTCTAGCAAATGCTGTCACAGGTCTCGCTCATTCAGAGACCTTCAAAAATAGAGTAGACTAGAAAACTAAAGAGTCCTGCTACAAAAGACTCCTTCTCAGGGAGCAAGGAGCCACGGAGCTTGGCCAGCCCTCCCTGGGTTGTGGTCGGGGTCAGAGGATGTGACTGCAGTCACACAGGTCAGGATCTAGAGTAAATGGGAAGCTCAGGCGGGGCCAGGAGATGAGTGAACAGTTCAACTGTCAGGAGGAGAAGGAAGGACAGAGCTCAACTCCTCATCAGAGAACAGAGCAAGGCCAGGCAGCTGAGCAGCAGTAGAATGAAGGCTGAGCATTTTCAGAGAAGGACTGTCCATCTAGCTGCTTCGCTCTGATGTCCTGACACCATGAAGACCTCTCACTCTACAAATGGAAGCACATGCAGCCAGCACACTTGCTCACTCCTGTCAGAGTAGACTTTCCAAGGGAAGTCAGGGGGGTCCAGGATGACTGGGAGGAGGATAAAAAGCAGCTTGGTCAAGCACAACCATGCATCTGTACATCCGTCTACCTTCCTTCCCCTTCTAACACCTCAAATACAGAGCTGGTAGTTCATCAAAGCCACAGGAACAACAAAATTAACTGTGTCAAGAAAGTATAAATCACATTACGTTTTATGGGGACCGGAACATCAACACAAGGACAAGTCCTCTAGGGGGATGAGAACAGCAGTCATAGAACATACTGATTTCACAGTGCCCTCAAGAGAAAGGCCAATCTGTGACACATAAACACCAAAGAGCAATTAGGAACTTGAAAAATTGCTGCATTCCTCAGGGTATACTTTATATGTTTAGCTACTTTGGACATTATTTGCACCAGAAACTCGTAGAAAGTATAAAAATAAAAAACTTAAGTTTGGTGTAAAGCAAGCCCAGAAATCTAAAAAGTCCCTCAAAGGGCTCAAAAAGATTAGTTTGATTTTTTTTTTTTTTTAAATAAAAAAGTATAGGCGGGCGTGGTGGCGCATGCCTTTAATCCCAGCACTCAGGAGGCGGATCTCTGTGAGTTCGAGGGCAGCCTGGTCTAGTGAGTTCCAGGACAGCTAGGGCTACAGGGAGACCCTGTCTCAAAAAGACAAAAACAAAATAAAATAATAAAATAAATAAAATAAAATTAGTATATGTCTTTCATTTTAAAAATTACTATGAGCTACATCTCTCCTCTCACAATATTACCATCTAAAAACACTGTGTCCTTCTGTGATTAACAAGCTATATAAGGCATTTGTTCCACTTACTGGTTGTGCTGAAAGCACAGTCCATGCTCTGTAGACAGCTCAAGTGGAACAGAGAAAAACTAATCAGGTGCAGTCACTGCATTCAGAACAAACATCTGACATTTACCTGTTAGTCCTATCTAATCCTATTGACAAGCTGTAGATCACACCAGAAATAACATATTTGCCATGGTTTATCATTATTTTGTGTGCAAAGATTTATCTAGCTGGTCATGGTGGCTCACACCTGTAATCCCAGCATTTGGGAGGCTGACAGAGGAGGACCACCACAAGTTTGAGTCCTGGTCTACAGAGTTAAGACTCTGTCTCAAAAAAAAAAAAAAAAATTCATCTAACATGTCAATAAAAACCAGCAAAGCCATGTTTAACCAGTTCCAGAATTTGTATCATGTGTTTTAATTAAACCACTACATAAAATACCATCATATGACCTTCTTTGTGCCCGGACACTTAGGGCCACAGATCCCAGTGTATCTCCATCATGTGGCAGATTTAAAGCACTACAGAGCACCTGGGAAACAGGTCTCCACATAAAACTAACAATATCACCATGGAAAGAGTATTCACTGTTGAACTGCTGTTAAAATTAAAGAACTATGTACTCCCACAAAACTGCAGCCAGATCCCAATTAATAAATTATACAACCCACTTCACAGAAACATCAAAACTGAAGTCAAACTGTTCCTATGTGCTTTTTTATGAACGCTAAGTACCTGGTCTCTAATTCAGTTGAACTGTTTGTACTGTTTTATCATTATTCTCTTCTAGAAAATATAAGTTATTTCTGGCCACTTTTCTATATGAAATTATCCTGGTCACACAGTCAAACAAACCCACATGCTGCCATCATGCTGTACATGTACATAAAAGACACCACGAGCAGGAAAGGGAAGTCTCACAAGAACCTCTGAACCATTGCAGTCTCAAACCTGTGGCAGCAGCGTACCAGCATGAGCTCGGGGTCCTGCAGCCAGAGGGGCAGCTCCGCCAGCTGGCTCATCGCCTGGAACAGCGTGGCCCTCAGCGCACAGTAATTATCACCACGAACTCGCCTTATGGAGGTGAATTTCTGAGAAACTTCCTCATAGCCCTGGGAAAAGTATCAAAGAATTCAAAATGGTGGTTATTGGAGTGAGACAGCAAAGCTCTATGCCTACAGGAAAAACTGCCCCAAATTATTAGGAAAGGGGTTATAAGATTAGCTCAGTCTTTCATGTAAGACATTCAGTTTTTGCTTTATTATTTTAATTATTTAAAAATGTTTTCAAAGCTTGCTTAATAGGATGATGTTTTACATGAACATGAAAGTACTTCTTTCTAATAATAAAAAGTTGAGAGTTGCTTTGTATTCTGTTTAGTGGCCCAACTACTATAGCAAATAAGGAACCATGACGCAGACTAAGCCTGCTGCTTCTGGTGACTCCTAATTAGTCTTTTATCTATCATTCCCTTCCTTCCTTTCCTCCTTCCTTCCTTCCTTCCCCTCCCTCTCCTCCTCTCCCCTCCTCTCCCCTCCTCTCCCTCCTCTCCCCTCCTTCCTTCCCCTCCCATCCCTCCTTCTTTCCCCTCCCTCCCCTCCCCTTTTTCCTTCCCCTTCCTCCCCTCTCTTCCCCTCCCCTCCCCTCTCCTCCTTTTCCTTTCCTTTCCTTGTTTTTTTTGAGACAGAGTCTCACTGTAGCCCCAGCAGACCTGGAACTCACGATGTAGTCCAGGCTGGACTTGATCTCACAAAGATCCACCTGCCTCTGTCTCTCAAGTGCTGAGATGAAAGGCATGTACCACCATACCCAGAAACTGCATTTCTCTAAAGACAAATTATCCAGGCTGTTTCAGAGATGAATCTAACTTTTTTAGGAATTAAACCTGTATTTATACACACTTCCAGAAGAATATCCAAAACAAAAACAAATAATTGGGCAAATAATGACTAAAATAAAAGCAAAATCAAAGTTGTCAGCAAGCACTGGAGATTCCCTAATTACGCCATAGGTCTTAATGAGTTGCACCTCTAAATGAGGTACTTGGATTTGATTACTGAAGAGGCCACCTGCAGAGTTAGATCTTTCTTTCCCTGAAACCAATCACATACAGGAATGACTTCAGCAAACGTTCTATGGAATATTTGAGGAACTCAGGCATCTTCACTCTAATATGCCAACTGTTAAACAGATCCTTGGAAGAGACTGAAGCAGCAAAATAAAATTACTAGTCAGGAAAAGCATTTCTGGAGCAGGTAAGAAAATACAGGCAAGATTCATTCTAGCTTTCTGGTTATACAGGTGGATACGAGGCAGAAAATTGGAAAATCTGAATAGCTGATGGCACAGTCAGTAGATGGCCTCTTAAATATAAACGGCTTTCACCTCTGGAAGACACTGAGCATCCTGAGTATTCTGTGACTGAGCTCACTAACAAGGGCTTAGAACGCAGATTTGTGAGAATCAGGGCTGATATATTCTCTCAGCTTTCCAAGTGGCAAAAAAATCCTTAAGCAACCCTAAGAGATGAGGGGTATTTTCTATAGAAGCAAGCTAAGAGGAAACAAAACCAATATTCAAATATCTAAAACTTCGAAACACTAAGCAATAAAGTTCTAACCTAAAATCATTAGATTTTTCTATCAAGTATGACAGGTCAGTATCTCTAATATACTAATACTCTAATCTCTAATTCAAATTCAAAATAGAAACAATCCCAAGAAAAAAACAAAAGATAAAACCCAAAAGTTCTAGGAAATGGTACAAATTTGACATTGTCATTTTTGTAGGTCAAAAATAGTCAAGCAGTAGTAATCTGACATGGTTTTATCCTGTAACAAGGAATGATGGGTTGGGGATACATTCTGAAGATCCCAACCCATCTCACAGTCTTGAGACTATGTCAGGATTGCCAGTACCTTATTCAAAGTGGAGGTAGTTTCTGAGACACCTTGAATGAGATGGTTCAATATCCCTCTGTATAAAGAGTATAGGAGGTTTCTATACCCTAGGACTTAAGAGCTTATGACCAAATCCGCCCCACCAATCCCTGAGGCTTTTACAACACCAGACTAAGAACAGCACTCTCAAATGTCCCCAAGAGGACTACCAATGCCTGACCCAACTCTCAACAGCACAGTTAATGTTTTTCAAAGAAATTTAGTTACTGAAGAATGCTAATTCTATATTAATACGATGACTCCAAACAAGTCCTTATCTTTGGAGTATGTTTCCTCATCTCTAAAATTAGAACGCCAATATTTACAAAGGCTCATGGCAGTTGTCTTAACCAACATCTAAAAATATAATATGATATATAACTTAAGACAGACGTTTAAAGAATTGAAATGGATGCGCCTTCGCTGTACCTTTTTCATACATGTGGCTTTCTGAGTATTTCCCCTCCACTCTTTTTTGCAGTAGTCCATAATATCCATTTCAGGAGCCACACTTAATATGGGTTCTGTTAAAGAATGAAAACAAAACAAAACAAAACAAAAATGAAACAAGTAATAAACCAAAGAATAATGAAAACAACACTCCTGCTTTACATGGAGGGGGGCTCTTTATTCCTTTCCCCATTTTAAAAAATTCTGAATTCTGCCACTGCCTACACCTCAAGTCCAAGCCACCCTCATACCACCCCTAGTAACCACAGGGGTCTCTCAATGGCTCAGGAGCCTCCCAGCTCAGCCCTCAGCTCTGGACAAGCCATCTCCTAGCCACAAGCCCCCATGGCTAACCCAGCACTGACTCTCTGGCCTCAGCTCACCACTCCCTACACTGACTCTGCTCTTGCCCTGCCTACAGCCCCCCAGGACAGCATACTATCACATGCCCCTTTTGCTTTCTACTCTTTAGACAGCTTTGGTTTTCTCTGACCTCCTACCAACACCTGACATATTTCTCTTTGTGTAGCCCTAGGACATACCCATGCACAAACATGTAAGTAAAACATGAGCTTCTTAAAGCTCGGGCTTTGCTTCTCAGCTGTGCTCTCAGCACCTGGAATTGCACCAACACACAGGTGTCTATGAACTTTTAGCATCAGAGGCAATCATATGGACTATGAGAACATATTTCTATGATTTTTAGTTTTTCATATCTATTACACAGAGAAAACTAACAAAAATTACGTATGCATTTACTTATATTCTGCTGAACCCAAGAGGTTATAGTTAATAAAGTCAGAAAGTAAGAGAGCACTCACTGTTGGCTGATTTCACAGACCTCCTTTGATGTCTCCCCAAATTAATACAGCTCAGGATCAACCAAATGTCACAGCTTTTGGTTTAATGCCTTTAGATTCTTCAGATTCATTCCTTCCTGCCCCCAACCCCCATCTCTCTCTGCCTCTCTTAATACTGGGGACTGAACCTAGGGCCTTAAGCAAGATTTTTTTTATTTAACAGAAATACTTGGTTTTATGATATATGTATATACATACATGTACATGACAATTTGTTTCAAGAAGAAAATGGAGCAAATTTTTTAGTACATCTTGGTTTCCTTTAAAACATTTTAAAGATACAGATATGAGTGGTAATTTTAGAGTATAAACCTAGAAATCCTTCAGAACACATATAATCCTGAATAAGCTGTACATAATAAATGCTTTATTCAACTCAACAAATAATTTTCCAGGTTCTAATACAGGCCATGTGGACGGAGAAATGTGACGAGCATGAGGACAAGTACTCTCCCGAGTGGACTTCTGTGGTTTACTGGGAAGACCACAGGCATTGACAAGCCTGTGGCAGAAGCCAGGAAAATTAAGGGGCACAAGTTTCCCTATGGTTTAGGGGAATCCAATCTTTCCTTTGTAAGTAAACTCTAAGAACTGGCTTTTAAAAAATTTCATCGTGAATCCTTTCATAAAATCCTTTTCCACAAAAGGGAAAACAATACATACATAGGTAACACAGATCCATTTCTGTGGCATACACCAAAATTAACCTGAAAGTGAAACACACCCCAAAGGGAAAACATACAGAGACCATCAGTACCGCAGTTGTACAACCAATCCTCAAATAAGGACCCTTCATCTTTTAAATTCAAGAAATAATCTTTGAGCATCTATTCAAGTATGGAGAAGTGCTCCGATGTGCCTGCCTTCCCACTCACCTCCCCGAAACAGGAAGTGCTAACAGGCAGTCAGGGCCCTTTCTGGGCCCTAAGTTCTTGCCAGGGAGGGAGGTGAACTTAAAGAGAAAGGACCCTATCAGCATAAGGAGGGCCCTCAGACAGGAAGTCACCCTTCCTGCCTTCCTCTCTGCTGTCCTCACTCTCAAACACACTAAGACTGTCCCCTGGACAGAACTGGGGAGTCCCACCATCTCAGAACAGAGGGGAGGAAGCTGGCCCAGGGCTCTTACATAGGCAAGAGGCCAATCCACAGGCCTAGTCCTGTGCTGAATCAGAGGTCTGTGTGAGGTGGGAGCTGTATAGCTGGAAGCACTCAAACGTTACCTGAAGTCCACTGGGCTCCTGTCCCTGGGCAGAGGCCACCAGCAGTTACTGCATACTACGACTAGACTAGGACACACTACGACTAGACTGGGACACGCTACAACTAGACTGGGACACGCTACGACTAGACTGGGACACGCCACTAGACTGGGACACGCTATGACTAGACTGGGACACACTATGACTAGACTGGGACACACTGACTAGACTAGGAGCTGGAGGCACAGGATAAGGCAAAGCCTGACCTCCAGCAGCTCACTGAGAGCACCACCCTTCATTTAACTGTGAACTATACACTCTTGTTTGACGTTTCCAGGAAGAATATTTCTATTGCAAAAATAAATAAATAAATAAAGTAAAAAAATAAAGTAAAATAAAAATAAATATGGGAAGTTGAAAATCAGAGTGGTAAGCTACAGCTCAAATAATAACATCTGATCCTCAAGCACCACAGAAATGACAAATACAAGAATCAGACCTCAAAAGGTAAGAAATGAAACTGGGAACCCATTAGGAAGCTGGGCTCTCAGAGGACAGACTAGTACAGAGACCTCAAACATCTTCTGCAATAGGTCAGAGAGAAAATAGCCTGGGTTTTAGGGGCCATAAAGTTTCTTTCGGCACTACTCAACTGTATCATGAAGAAAGTCACCCAAGGCAGTATGTAAAGTAAGAAGTTCCAATAAAACTTTATGTATAAAACCAGGTGGTAGGTCAAGGCCCAGAAGCCACGATTTGCTGACCTGAGTTAGGAAGAAATGTTTTCTCACCAACAAGAGAATAAGAATACTCTGTCTCACTCTGTGCTCTGCTCTGGAGGAAGGAGCACTGCTAAAGGAAAGGCAGGAAAGACAATGAACTCAGGACTGAGAGGTAAGGAGTGCAGAGACCCATTTCACTGTCAGACTAAAACTGGAAGTTACTGGATCCACTAAAACACTTGGACACCTACACGAGGTACAATGTGGACAGAAGAGAATCACACACAACAGAGCCTAGAAAGTGGAAGAAAGAAACAGGAAGTCCTGCAGCGTAGTAAACAATGGCTAAATACGCAAGGGCATGATGGCCCTAGAAAGATGGCCAACAGAACATTCTCTAAAGTTCTAAGGAAGACTACCACAAAGACATCTCTGTTGGCTACTGCACGGAAGGATTCACCAATGCCTATAGAAAGATGGCCAACAGAACTCCTCTGTCTGGAGTGGTTTGGAACAACACAGAAGTAGACACTGAACATTCTCTAAAGTTCTAAGGAAGACCACCACAAAGACATCTCTGTTGGCTACTGCACGGAAGGATTCACCAATGCCTAGGACTCAGAACATACCATCAAAACTTTGTATTTGTTCTTCATTACAATAATGCTTTTGTTAGCCCTGAGATAAACAGAAGCCAGCTCTCAAAACAAGGCAGAACACATAAGCTATACAAGGAATGAAAAGGAAAATGCCACCATGAACAATCTATAGAACATCTCTATTCGGCTTCTGACTAGACGGCACCAGCAAAGGAAAGATACTATTAATTTCAGCTCTGATGGCAAAATCACTGGAGTCCAGGGAGACAGGGAACACCAAGTCCAGGTGAAAGGCCTTGTGGGAGTGAGAAGAGCAGGCCTGGCAGAACAGCACGGGTGGTGTGCAGTCATAAAATGAGGACTGGTGCCATCAAACCAGGAGCACTCTTCTATAGTCAACCAGATAGCATGGCCATCTTCATGCAAGGATGTGTACATAGTCAGCTTCTTTCAATTGGAAATGAAAAACACCTTTCAAATTCAAACTCTTCAAAAAGACAAAGAACTGAGAGAACCAGAGTCAAGAGGTACAGGCAGAACACTTGCATTAAAATTCTAAAAGCCACAAGAAAAGGTCTTCCCTAAATGTATTTCAGTAAAATGAATAATTAATGCAGAAAGATTGTGTGAATATGAGTATTTTCTAGGAAATATATGCCCACATTTTATGAAAGTAGATATACTAATCTAACTGCATTTTCTACTATAAACAGTAAAGAATTCTACATATGAAACAATTCCAAACATACCTGATATCCCTCTTTCATGTATAAGCAATTCTTTCTCCTTTTCTATTTCATCTGCAGCACGGTACATGTCCTCCTCGCTGAAATCACACCAAAGTAGATATTTTCAAACTCGTAATGCACTGGCGATTTCTGTTATATGACAATATACAGTGGCTCATAAAAGTATAAGACACTAAAAGTTTAACTTTTTCACATATATGATGCTGCGTTGATAAAAATGTGGGTTCTAAAGACTCGTGTCTCCATCACTCCACTTTCTTACACATCACTTAACCTGGCCACTTAAATTAACATCTATCAGCATGTATTTAATCAGTGAAGCACCTGAATGATTCTGCAAAGTTCCAAGAACAATAAGAGTACTAATAAAAGAATTTACAAAGGAATGCAGAACTTCATAAACGTATCACAAGTCTGACAATAGCTACTCTGAAAGCAGGAAAGAACTAATTACAATCCCCAAAGCTAAAAATCCTCCAGGCTTCTGTGCCCTAACCAGTAATGGACAAGCCACCCATATACTGCAACATTCCCACAAGTTTTAATGGGTATCAGCACTACTAATGAACAACATAAGCATACCATAGCTTCCTGAAGTGTCTCTTTAGTGAATTATTACTAAAAAGGGGAAAAAAATTCTAAACAAAGATGAACGTGACTTCTGCTTTGAAAATGCCCTCCTATCTTTGAAGATTTAAAGGCTAACTTGGAGCTTCCCTAGTTCAAGCTCTGGATTTGATTCGAGCAACTCAAAAAGATAAAAACAAGACTGACCCCAAAATGACAATAAAAGGAACAGAACACAAACTCTACCTTTCCTGCAAGTACAAGACATGTATGTTAAAGCCCAGTCAGAACAGAGGGGTAAATGGTGCAGGCAGGGAAGCCCAAGGCTGCTGGAGGGGCAGCTGTGCAACGCAAGCCAGTAAAGTCCCCAGCCAGGAG